AACCTTTTTTTTTTTTTTTTTTTTTCTCTAAGATCTTCCCTGGGATAGAAGTCAGGCTGATTGGGCCTATGGTTAGCCAGATCCACTTTTTCCTCCCTTTCTTGAAGAGAGGCACCACATTGTCCACCTTCCAGTCTTTTGGGCACTACACCAGAGTGCCAGAAGTTTTTTTCAAAGATCCGTGCCAGGGGCTGGGCTATGATGCTCACCAGCTCCTTGAGTACTCTGGGGTGTAGACTGTCAGGGCTGGCTGACCTTGAAGGTATGCAGCCTATCCAAGATGTTCCTTCATGAGGTCAGCATTGATGGAGGGGATCTCCCACACCCAGACCTCCCTGTCCCATAGTGGGCATGGGCATCCCATGGGACTGAGAGACTAATGCAAAGTACCCATTTAATAGGCTGACTTTTTCCTAGTCATCAGTTCATCAGTTGCCCCATCTGGTTCAGCAGGGGTCCAATGTTGCCCTTGCTTTTCCTCCAGCTCCCCACATCTGAAAAGACTTATTGTTCTTGATGCTCGAAGCTAGCTGGAGTTCAGTTGCAGCCTTGGCTTTCCTGGTTTCCTCCCTGCAGGACTGGACCAGTGCACAATAGTCCTCCTTGGAGGTAAATCCCATCCTCTTTGTAGGCCTTTCTTTTAGCCTTAGGAGGCCTGCTAGATCCCTGGAGAGCCAAGGGGGGCTGCTGCCCCCTCCTGCTGCCTTTCTTCTGAGATGGAATAAAACTAGCTTGTGCACTTCAGAATCACTCCCGTTGAGGAGTAATTACTCTTCTTGAACTCCCCTTTCCCTGGAGTCATGGTCCCTTAGGGCCTCACTGACAAGTCTCCTGAGCTTGTCAAAGTTGGCTTTCCTGAAGTCAAGGACTTTGGTATTGCTGGCTAACTTGCCAGCTTTATGGCAAGATGGTGACGGTGACCAGCTTGTGGCTGCTGTCACCCAGCTTCCCATAGACCACTAGGTTGCTGGTGTTTTGTGGGTGGCTTTTGTCATCCCCAGTAGCCAGTACCAGGTCCAAGCAGTGCTTCACCTCATTGGCTCATATACTTCAAGTCGGGTAGAGGTCATCCACACATGAGAGCTTTGCAAACACTCAGATTTTGCTGAGTGATCCTCTCATGAGCTGTCTGGGTAACTGAAGTCACCCATAACGACAACCATGGTCCTCTGGAGTATGCAGCCTCAGCCAGTTCCCGGGCAAACTCCTGGTCTAGCTCTTGACTTTGGGTGGGAGGTCTATAGTAGACTCCCACTGTCCCCTGTGCCATATTCCCCACAGCTTTTAACCCAGAGGGTCTTCCAGTCATCCACCCTGGTTGCCAACATCAGCTTGCAGGGACACAGCTTTTTCCTTTTAACAGAGCTACACTTTTAGCTCTGCCTGACCTTTTAGCCTCTTCTAGAAAGGGAACCATCCTGGATGAAGCAGCTCAAAGCAAAATAGTTCTAGAGTAGTTGCTCAGATCCTTTTTTATTACTAAAGAAATAGTCTAAAATTTGTTCTCAAACTTCATGCCACC